TGGATTCTTTGATGAATAGAAAGTTCAAAAGAACAGCATTTATTACAACTCGATTGTAACCTAATAAATGTTTTTACGGTCACTTTTGATGATTAAAAGTATTTATTTATAATAAAAAAAAACACTTGAACGTCAGTGTAATTCTAGTTTTTTAATATATATATATATTTTTTTTTTAAATATAGAATTCGTTTTTATTTTTGTATTGTCCATTTTCATTTTCAAGTTCCAAGTTTTCTGTTTTTTTTTTATTTTTTATAGTTATGTAATTTTTACTAATTTTATTTAAGTTTTAGTTATTTTAGTACATCAAGTTCAACTAAATAAATTAAAATGAGAAACGTTGCTTTAGAAATTATTTATTTTATTTTATCTTAGTTCATGTTTATTTTATTTCAGGTTACAATCTTTTATGGTTTTAGTAACAGTTTTTAAAAAATATTTTGATTATTTTTTTAAATTTAGTATTTTCCATTTTTATTTTATTTTGAGTTAAAGTTTTAGCAATTCTATTGTGTGTATATAAACAATAACTAATACCTTTTAATAGTTTTTAAATAGCATCTTCTTGTAAAGCTAAAATTTTATTTTAGTTTTAGTTTAATTTACAACTAAAATTGACAAAATCCTCTTTTACAGTGTAATTAATTTTTGAGAGCATCTTCATGAAAGCAATTATTTCTCATATAAAAACATAATATAAAGTCATATACATGTGTCACGTATTGTGTTAATTAAGTTAAAGTCAGTTATTTTTAATATTCCGAATTGGTTTTTATTTTTGCATTTTCTGTTTTCATTTTGATTTCAGTTTTTTGTCATATTTTGCCATCTAGTTTTTATTCATTTTATTTCAGTTTTAGTTTGAGTCATTTTGGTGCATCAAGTTAAACTAAATGAAAACGAGAAATGCTGAAATTATATTTTTTTATGTTATTTTATTTCAAGTAATGAAAACGTTTGACTTCTCTATAACTGTGATCATCATACCTGCTGGAGGCTTTCTTGTTGAGGCCCTCCCACTCGTGTTTGCGGTGCAGGAATCCCTCCAGCTGCGCAGACGTCGTCTCCTGACCCTTCGCCGGCAGCGTGGCTGACTGACTGCCTTTGGCCCGTCGGTCTGCGCTCGGAGACGGGATGGGACTGGGCTCCTTCGAGCTCCTCTCAGCCACTCCGTTCATCTCGCCCTCCACTCCATCCTGCCAACACACCATCAGCCATCAGTCACTGAGCTGCAGCTCACAAACCTACAGAGTCAGTCACACGCCATGAATTCTGAAAGAGTCGTTTCAGAAATCGTTAGCAGGAAAACAGAACCACTGGCTGATTCAGAGATGAGACTCGTTCAAATAAAGTCAACATGAACTCAATATTAAATCTTTTTACACTGCAAAAACAGATTTTTTTGTTTTCCAGTAGAAATACGGAAAAATTCTTAAATCAACATACATTTTCTTATATCCTTTTTGGCTATTGGATATTGTTATTAATGTCGGAAGAAAAATTATTTGAGAGTTGAAGACTGAAAAATACATTCAAATGAAGTGAGTTTATGCTAAAAACAAGAAAAAATATCTGCCAATGGAGTAAAAATAAATAAATGTTTCCCTTTGAATTAAGTTGATTTCTCACTAAATCTAGATCAAATTTTCAGAAAACAACAGTATTTTTATATACCATTTATATATATATATATATATATATATATATATTGATTAGTATCAAACAAGTACATATCATTTATTAATATTATAATACACTTATATTTCATCTTGTTTTAAGCATAAAGTCACTAAATTTTTCTGCATTTTTAAATTTTTTTTATTAATAAGCATATTATTTTACTAAAAATAATTTCATTAAATACATTTTTATATATTTAGATTAGTATTAAACTATTGTGAACACATATCATTTAATAATATTATAATACACTTATACACTATTATATTCAGAATTATTAAATATATTTAATATATCACGATTAGTTAAAAACTAATATAAATACAAAAAAAACAAGACTTCATATCTTTATTTTGCATCTCAAGTAAATATATCTTGATTTAAGAATGTTTAGAAATCTGTACTGCAAAACAAGACAAAATCAAACACGTTTAAACACATTGTTAATAATTCTTATCTTTTTTGGCTATTGGATATTGTTATTAATGTCAGATAATGCATCATACTGCAGAATTAGCAAGGTTTTAAGTGCATTTCATGTTGACTTTAAAGGTAAAAAGATCATGCAAGGTGCAAAACTATCGATCTACAGTCACCGCAGAAGGCCGGGAAACATCCTAGATGTCTGAAACTCAATCAGCTCACTCGTACACTGATTGAAAAACATCATGCTTAAAGCGACAGCACACAGAGTTCACTCCAGATGTGTTACTGTACCGCAAAACCCATCTGACGGGACCATCCTGCTCGGCTAAAACGGCTTTCAGGAACTCAAACACAACCTCTTTAGTCCAGCTTTACTAAGATCTGTGCTTAAAAACCTTCAAAGCTCTCATAAGGAGCCAGTGAAGCCTGATAAAGGAAGGGTTAGATGCATTTAAAGACAGACGCAGCGATAATCACGTCACAGGACATACAACATACAAACTGTGGAGAAAGATCAGTTGATTTATTGTTCGTGAACTAGTGGATACCAACAGAGATACTGGAAGTGCATGACAACAGACCCGTCATACAGTCTTTGCAGATCATTTTACGGTAAATCACCTCAAACGAACACAAAAAATCGACTCCACTAGACGTTTTTGGACTCTAAACACAGAACAACAGGTTTGAGTTTCACAAGCTCACATCGCAAACACAAACGAAAGTGGAACCAAGCTATCAGAATCAAGGCAGATCATTTGCACAGGTTTAAATATCAAAACTACTGTCTTAAAGCAATGCTCTCGGTTCATTTTGACTCACATCACACACACACTGTCCATTAAAACGGAAAATAATATCAAGAGGAGGAAGCACGCTTCACTTTTACAGTAAATAACAGCGCTTACAGTAATGCACTTAATAAAGGAAGTCTAGATCAATCTATAAAGCACCATCATTTCTATAGAGAAAATGTCACTGCAAAAAATCATGTTCTTCTTTAGTATTTTCGTCTTGTTTTCCAGTATAAATATATAAATATTTTTAAATAAAGATACATTTATTTGAGAAGCAAAATGTCTTAAGATATTACGTTTTTTTTGTCTGAATAACTGGTTATAATTTTGTGATTAACATATTAATATATATTAACTAATCTTAGTATACTGATTGTGTTTCAATTTTAAAATAATACATAACATTATATATAAAATATTACACAATATTATAAATTTGTATTTATATTAGCTGTATACTAATTTAAATATATAACAAATATATTTAATTAAATGATTTTTATGTCAAATAATACACTTCAAATATTAATCTAAATATATTATTCACAATAATTAATATTAATATTTATTTATTTTAAATTTATACTAATCTAAATATATTACATTTATTTAATTTACTAAAACGACGCAATATATTAACACAAAAATATTACTTATATGAATACATTTTATTTTGTTTTCTGGAAAAAATTATCACAATTTTGTGACTTTATGCTTAAAATAAGAAACAAATATCTGCCAGTGAGGCAGGACAATAATCTTAATTAAAGGGAAAACCAGATACATTTTTGACCCACTTTTAGACATTTTATTTTGCTTCTCAAGTAAATGTATCTTGATTTAAGGATGTTTAGACATTTGCAACTGAAAACAAGACAAAAATACTGAGGAAGATTTTAGCATTTTATATGTTCCTGTTTTTCTAATGCATAATCAGAAGTTGATCCTCCTAAAAAAAGAAGTTCCACGTCAAAAAAGACACACGCACACACAAAATTTCACATCACCTGCATCAGTTTCAAGTTCATTGACAGTGCTGCCTTTGAATAATGCATATATTTTTAATCAGTACTGTAGATTATTTTTTATTTAATTTCCACTAGTTTGTGTAAATCTCATTTGCTTTCATTATATTGTATTATGCATCTATCTTTATTACATCAGCAACCCTGCTTTCTAAATATCAGCACTGAACTGTGCAAAAAACATTCTTGTTAACGGCTTATCTGTAAAATATCTGAGCAAAAATTCATTTTTATTTGAAAAATACCTGCATATTGGATATCGGCAAAAATCTAATATTGTGAATGCCTATTTTTTACTATTATTTAGTATTAAATACATTTTATTTATATACAATATTAATTATTAAATATATTAAATATACTAATATAAGTATATATGTACTTATATTAGTTTTATACTAATCTAAATATATTAAACATTGAATTAAATGTTTTTTATTACAATAATCCAATTTATATATTAATATAAATATATTATATTTTTATATGAATTTTATACTAATCTTAATATATTAAATGTATTAATAGAATAATACATGTAATATTTTAATACAAAATTATTATTTATATTAACATATTATATATGTTTAACTCAATATATTAAATATATTAAATGCACTTAATGTAATAATTTTTTACTAAAATAACACTAATGAATTATATATATAAATAATACATTTATGTACATTAAAAATTATTTGAAGAAAAATATTACACTTAATATATTAATATAAATATATTATTTATATTAGTAAATTATATTAATCTGATTACATTTCATAATTTCTTTGACCAAAATAACACATTTTATATATTAATATAATTATATTATGTATTAAGTACTTTATTTATAAAAACACCTGTTTACACAAACCTAAACATCAGTGTACTGAGTATGTACTAAAACACATTACCTGATAGCATAGAACAGCATTTGTGTGACATGCAGGCGTGTTTTCTATGTACATCTATAGGTCTGTGCTGTGGTGTGTGTGTGTGTGTGTGTGTGTGTGGTGTTTACCTCTGCTGTGTTTCTGCGTCCTGCGCCTGGACCGGCTCCGGTGTGGGCGGTTTCCTCCTCCTCTCTTCCTCCTCTTGCTGTCTTCTCACTTCCAATAACTCCAACTACCAGAATCAACAGAGAAGTTCAACAAACAGAGTCACAGTGACATCCTCCTGACACACACACACACACACACACACACACACACACACACACACTCTCTCTCTCTCTCTCTCTCTCTCTCTCTCTCTCTTACCGTTGTCAGTCGCTCCAAAGCTTTCCTCCCAA